GAATATTTATAGGCTAATAATGCAAATTCAAGATATCTCCTGGAAACTTACATTACTAGGAACAGATAGGGGGTATGATATACTCACCGTATGTCTGAGAAGGCTCGTGGAACAGAAAGACTACCAACATCAGAACAGAATACATTGTTCTGCGACAAGCAGTAACCATATCCATTTTGCAGATGTGTGAGTTTATAAATACGTAGGAAATATTCACGATAAAAATTTCGTAACGTCAGGTGACTGATAGTACACATGCCTGTTGTGTGTACTCCAACTGATATTCGTTACACTGTTATTTAACGGGTCAGAAATGCCATTTGACTTTCTCTGTGATAATACAGGTGCTGATTGTGATAAATTTATTTAAACATTAGCAGCTTATTCATAAAATTTGTAAATTACTTTTAAAAATACAGGTTCTCAGCACTTATGGTGCAGGTGCATTACTGCAAAACGCTGAGTAAATGAAGTATCTTCCTCTTGGCCTCAGTACCTAAGTCAGTGGTAAATTTTATGATAATAGCTGAGGTGGCTAGATGCTGGATTCTCACTGCGGAGATCAGGGTTTCTATCTCAGCTGACTGCAGTGGCACTGGAGCGAGTATCTCTTAGAGTTATTCACTTTACCTCTATTAATCACCATTCCGCCCTTCTTTCATCTCACCCGTCGTCACCTCAGAAGTATGCGAGCAGAGCATTATCATGCCACCGGTCATATGTTGCTAGCTTCTTGTGGCATGTGATAAGATCTGAACCGCGAAGCTGATACTCACGTACATGCGAGGAAAGATGACGTCTGATACAAAAAAATAATATTTGCTTGGGAGGTCCTCCAGGGCAATTAACCTACATGACCCGGGTGTATGATATGACAGTGCAAGAGACGCGGTAGTTATCTCGGATCACATCGGTATTGCAATGACAAAGAACGCCTTTCAATGTTAGAGTATTTAAACGAGTACACTGTTCCAATCTTGTATGCTTATTTCTGATTCTGAAAAGTATGACATAACTCTTGGTATGATAGTTGTGTCAAGGAGAGATTATCATAAATGGCGTATTGTGTGTTACCCTCTTATTCGTATCTGTGAAATTTTAATTTTTAGTATACTGTGCAAATAAAACCAGAGGTGTAAAATTTCCTTGCTTGTAAGATATGCTGATAATTACATACACACAAACATGTATATAAATGACAGAGCTCGTGAAAAATGTAGTGGGTTTCCTCAACCACATATTTCGAAAAAATGTGTTAAGTTTTGTAACACTCAAAAAAAAAAATCTAATGAAACAATTGCTCAATTCACATATAATTATGCCGTAAATGAAAGTATCTTTATGAAGGAGGTACCTTGTATGAATCAAGTTATCAGTTGTATTTTTGATGAATTTCATAGTTTTCATAAGTCTCTCTAGATAAAACATGGGATTGTAATTTGAAATATGCTGCTGTCACTTGTTTTCATATTGTATCATCATTAATGATTTTCCAATTTCATTTAATATTATACTATTTGCATTTAAAACTTGTTAAATAATGTAAAACTTAAAGCAACTAACTTCTGAATATAAGACAGATTAGCTATACCTTTCCAGTGTAACTGATAATACAAGCGATCTAATGGTGATAATTATCACCAGTAGATTGCTTGTGGAACAAGGGCAGAAATAACACCCACGCCCTGAAAAAGAATGAATGGTTTCCTGAATGTTACATAACTTCTTGTCACAGGGCTGTGCACATCATAAGATATTTGTTTTAGGGTACGCCTTATCATCGCTGTGACGAAAAAGTATGGCCACTTTTTGATGTGTGTTGCATAACTTCGTGTAACGGGCTCTGCACATAAGATATTAGTAACCATATTCTTTGTGTATATGACTTACTGTAAAGATGGCATATGCGACGAAAAATTTAGAACCACATTTTTGTTCTTATAATTGTTTGTTGCTTTAATGTCCCAAAATACATTATCCAGGTTTATGGATATTTGGTTAGTTTCAAGTTATTTAACGATGTTTCAACAGCAGAATTTGTGTGGTGTTGAATGAAATTATCATGAATGCTTTGTAGTAGTACTGTATCCAATATCAGTATCCTTGTTTTAACACAAATAATAATGTACACAAAATCTCCGTAATAATTAAATAGCGGAATACGTGAAAAAATATACAGACCATAGGTAATCATGACTTGGTACAGTCTCAAGGGAAATGTGAGTGCATAGAATAAAATGCAGATCATGAGTATTCCTGATTTGAAACAAACTTTAGGAAAACGGTAGGGGGTCAGAAGAATTATGTACAATCTTGGAAATCCTGCTAACAGGTTCTATGAAAATGACACTGTCTGAGAAGGAATCTTTCTTATGTAGCTCTGACTTGAAACAGGCTACAGAAGTGGTTCTTCATTTTCAGACTTTGGCCACATTTGACTTTTCTTATTGTTTTTAAAGCCACAAGGTTATGAATGACTCTAGCTTACTGAAATGCCATGAAAATTTATTAAAAATCCTACTAGATTAGGCCTGCTATTGCAAACAGGATCATGTCACTATTGTTTTAATAAAATTAGTGATTGGTGAGACATTTGATACAGCTTTTCAATATTGATTCATTTATGTTATTATAATTCATACATCAGCTAGTAGGATATGTTTAGAATATAAATAAGCACACAAACAACTATTAATAGTGTTAATAGTTGTTTGTGTACCTATTTATATTCTAATACACTACACGGTATGCAAAGTTTTAAGAATATGTTTAATTTCTTGATTTGATGTTCTTCATTAACGTCACAGTTGCTCACAGCAGTCATTACTACAAAATATGGAGAAGTTCTGGATAGGTCCTAGAGTGGTGTAGGACAAGTCCTCGATAGTGTTTGTGTAATTTTATTGGTCATGGAGAAGTCCTGAAAGGATGTGTGGATGTCATAAAGTGGCGATGGGTTTTATCCTATGCGGGTCAGTTATTTTGGATTCGCTTATGTTTGATTGGTATAAGTTACATTGGATTAGGTTGTGTTGTATTGGCTTAGGTAGGGTTAGGTTGGGATAGGTTAGCTAATGTAATTTTAGGTTGCTTAGGTTAAGTTATATAAGGATGTTATGTTCTGCGATGGTTTACATTCTCCTGAAGAATATCTAGCGTGTTCATTCGGTTGCCTTGGGGATGTCCTGGAGAAGTTCCCTCCCCCAACTGCCTATATGGCGTATAGTGGGGCAGCTTTAATGTTTTTGCTTTTTTGGAACATAAATGGCCGAAACATGTCACCACGCAACCTTTGTACATTGGCAGTAATTTTCTAAAATCTACATTTAATGTTTTAGTTAGGCTTTTGTGGTGTATTGACGGGAAAAGCGAAATATTTTTCTTAGTCTTAACCACAACAGAACGCTCATCCACAAGCTAGAAATAACCGGAACGAGACACAAATGTAAAAATTGGGAACGAAACCTTGTAGACACCCTGTACTTCCTCATACTTCTGCCTGTGTTTGCTTCTTCTTGGCCCACAACCTGTTCTTTACTTCCACCCCTAACCCCTCACTCCCCCACTACATTCTTTTAATTACTACGTCAGTGGTTCTTCAAAAAAAAAGAACGCCCTTTCACTTGTTTCCGGCGTTGCTGTGACGAGGTAAGCTGATGCGTAGAAATCCAGAACAATTTCCTTTCAGAGTAAAATGGAAGGCCAGTCCATGCGGAGCTTTTATTGAATTTTATATTTGTAGATTTACTAATAGTTTCATTATTTCCGAATATTAACTAAATATATGGTACAGAGCCGTTCTGCATAAGCTGATTGTAGCTTAGCAGTCAAGAAATTCGCCGACCCTTCATTTATTGATTCATTCATTAGCTGTACACGAGGTTAACCGTGTTAGGTTAGAATATGTCGAGCTAGCTACGGACTTCGAGCTTGTTCTTTTGAAGTTGCTATTTGAAAATGTTAGAATTTTATAAATCGTCGGGTATTTGTCAAATTCTTGCATAATCAATTGATACGGGGTAAAACATTGCGTTCTGTAGCCCACGTATTTGTCAATTTCGTTGTGCATAATGATGAATTTCCCCAGTAGTGCCAGAATTCACTACTGTGCTGAATTATTAAAGGACGAAAAAACGTTTAAATTATCATGAAGTGAATTTCGTACACAATTCTAACCAACAGCTTTCTCTCAAGGCCAACTTCCTACGCAGAAGAGGTTTGAGTGACATCGTAGCTGGTTTTCGACGTAATACATCATTTTCTTGTCAGGTGCATTGCAATCGTCAGATACTTGGTTTAATGGAGCGTAGAAACAAACTTCAATAAAGCCGATTATTCAGTTATGACACGTGTATTATGCAACATTCTCGTTGGATTCAGAATATCGATTAAACTACAGGCGTTCGCGCTCTTAGGAACATTTAGACGGTCGTAAAGCGAGTCGCTGTGTCTCCATTCAGACAGTGTTGTAATCGGAGGTTACGTTTACGAAATACCAAAAAATAAAGAAAAGATCAACAATTTTATTGCCCCAAACGAAATGTATATGCACCATAAATAAATCAAATGATTCCATACGCTATTTAAAAAACCTGTAGAATTTTGTCCAAAACACAATAGTACCTAAATTATAATTTTTTCCCTTGTCACAAGTGATTCCAGGGCATCAGATAGATTAAAGTACATTTTGTGGGGATTGGGGCGTGGAGGAGGCCTCAGAATCCTCTGCTTCAACATGAGGGTCCTAGTTTCTTAAACCGTCGAAAGGTATTGGGTGAGCGAGTTCGCATTCGGATGAAGGGTGTGTCCTTCGTTATGAAAGTTAACATGAGCAAAATTTTGTAAAGCGAAGATTGATTTCATCGGTTTAATCAAAACCCACAGTGCAGACCGTGTAAATATTGTATATGCATTTGCAGTTAAGAATAGTCTCTGCCACGGTAATTATTAACTTTGCTTTAGAAATCACCATCTGTAAAGTATGAATTGGATATGTCAGCGTATCGTGTAAGGTGTTAAAATACTGGCTCGAAATATAAATACCATAAAGAGAAACACAGCCCCATTAGACGCTGCTATAGGAGAGCAGAGTGAATGCGACGTTTCGGGTCCTGAATGCAGGGCTGAATAACAGTATGAAGGTAGGATATAAATCTTTTGAAGGTGCTGCAAATTTCACGTCTTTTGGAGCCGTAATAACAGGTTACATTTGTTTTATGGAATTCGTGAAAAGCAGGCGGAAGATTATAATATTCTTGCTACAGTTCAGTTCAAAATATTTTGTCGTCCTGTCTGCTATCTAAAAACGTAAAGGTTTTCGATATGCTGCACGACTGTAAAAAAAATGGTCTCTCATGGCAAAGAAATAATGGAATAGCTGAATTAGTAACTGTGTTACGAATGGGACGACTAGGGTTCGATTCTCTGCAGTGCTGCTATTTTTCTATTCGCTATAGCATGGGGCTCTCCGAACTCCCCTATTCAATGGATATTTTTGGATTTATCCTTCCGGCTTGAAGGTAACTTCTCCCCCCCCCCCCCCCTCTTGTAGTGCCTAGGTCAAGAACGTGTGGAATTAAACCTCCATCACGTCGTATTTGACCATGGAGTGGTGCTTAATTCTATGAGGGACCAGCTTTATCACTACAAAGATTAAGGGTCCTGAGGGTAATATCTGGATCTAGGAGGGAAGAAATAACAGGAGAAAAATGGCATAATGGATAGCTTGCATCTGGTGTTTACCATATATTATCTGGGAGTAATTAAATCTGGAAGTATGAGATAAGTACCTACAAAATTTTTATTGGAAAATGAGAAAGGGACAAACTGCTTGGAGGAAATAGATGGGAGGAAGATGTTAGTATAAAGATGGCATTCTTCTTGGTTGTGATTTTGGCCTACTTTTTGGTCTAGTGTGATTTGGCTGCAATAAAAAATCGGTCAAATAGTGAGCTCTGTTGTAGAGGTATGAGATCCAGCAAGAAAAAGCTATTCTATTTTAAGAAAATATCGTGTGTAGTGAATATATATAGCAATTTTAAAAATTCTGATGTGATATATTTCAAGAGTAATTGTTGGGCTGGATTTATTGGTTCTTATATTTTTTATCTTGCCAAATTTTTCTCTGACTCAAGTAATGTATATATCAGCATCCCGTCCCAAACCCAACCCTGATGTCCACACCACGGGGGGAGGGGGGAAACATCCCTAGAGATAACTAACAGGGCTTTGCTCCACCAAAGAAACGAATATTCTGCTGTTGGCTGCACTGCAGTGAGGTGATGACAAGTGTCGCTAACAGTTTGTTTTGGGCACCAGGCAGCGCCCTGTCACATTCATGACCTTCACTCGCGTAGTGCTGTGTGGGTAGCTAGTTTCTCATTTCTGTTACTTGTGGGACGAAAATGGATTCTGCAAGTTAAAAATACGTTTGAAATGCACTTTTAGGGACTTCATAATAGGGGGAGAGACACAAGAATTGACCATATGCCTCACGAGGGTTGGAAGACTGGATTTGTTTCTGTGATGAGTTTAATTTTTGTTTCAGAATGTTATACAGAGCCTTGGCTTTGAGAAAAGATGACTACACGAGTTATTCATGTACTTCAAAGACGTCTGATTGAATTTGAGGAGACGTAATATTCTCATTGAATATACTATATCCATGAAAGCAGGTGTGTTATTAAGGATGGTGAAATGCAGTCTTTATCATTTACGCATTTCAGCACATGCCATCATCAGGTCATAATGTTTGCTTTCTTCGGTAAGTGCACTGCTGTTCTGTACTTACAAGCATATTGACATTGGTTGTAGTGAGTGAAATGGCTACATTTAGGTATTTTTTACGCTTTTGCACTTCATGTTGCTATGTGATTTATTTATATTTAATTGTATGTGTGTGTGTGTGTGTGTGTTATTTTAATTATTGCAAATGGGCCCATTTGTTACATTAATGTTTGTATTGTACTTCTTAAATCTTATTATAATTTGTTTTAAAACTTATGGTTAAATTGCTGTTTACTATAGTCTTACATTAAAATGTGTTAATTCTCCATATTTTATAGTGTCTAAATAGTGCATATTGTTTATTTGATGTTTTTCTCATTATCCTTGTTGTGTTTGTAGTAATAATGTCAAACATGTATCATGTAAGACTCTTTCAGGTTTTAAATTAACTGATAAAGAATATTGGCACAATTACCACTGTGATTTCCATGCAAGTGAAGTGTTCCAGGTTAAGTGGCATTACAACAGCAACAGTGATAAAAATTGATTTGAAATAGAAAATGTGAAAGGATACAGTAATTGGAGCATGTTTCCTATGCCCATTGAATATAAAGCAAAAGATTTTGGTACTAAAATTACTTTTGTGAGAAAACTGATGAGGACCTGACAAGTGGAAACATCCACATGACAGGGAAGCTGTGGATTGTCTTCCCCTCAAAGTTTCCTCCATCGAATAAGTTTCCTTTCCTGTGTGTGCAGGGGAAGGAACACCACTGTTAGAGGCGGGGGATGATTGATGGGCTGTTTGCAGTGTGTTAGTGTAAGAATCACAATCAGTCGAGAGGTAAGGGACGATTTGATGTTATCAGTGTGTCAAATGTGTTGCAAATGTACTAGGCTTCTTTTGAAGGCATAAGAATTAGTATATTTCTGATGTATCTAAAGATATATCATCATGATGTCATGAAAGCAGCATTACATATTCAACAATAATATATTGCACACACATTACGGTATTATTAGTATAATCGAACTCGTAAACTAGAAAATTGTAACCTATAAACCAAAGTAATAATTCATAACAAAATCAATGCATTGTCAATATTATGTCATGCATGTATTCCGGATTTCAAAGTAATGACTTGACTGTTTTGGCTGAGAAGAATTAATCAGTACATTTGAATTTTCACAAAAGTATATGAATGCCGCATGTTTGTTGAAAAGAAGTTGCCAACTTTCTAATGATGTGATTATCTGTGTTTTTTATGTGCTTCATTAGAACTTTATCTGCCTTCTGCTGTTTTCACAGGGTTGATCAAGTGGATTTTGTTACACACCAAAGTATCAAATTGCACATCCATTAGTTCGAAGCTGCAAGTGCGTGGGCATTGTCCGAATCACAAAACAAAATACAGAGTTGTTGCTGTTTTGGAGTCCGTTCTGAATGACGTTTTGACCAGTGGCCTTTTTGTTACCTATTGATTGTTGAGAGGGTATGAATATTTTCTTTGTTTCGTGTCAATAGGTTGATGGCATCACGAGGCAATTGTTTTGTCACATAATGAATCATTTCATGGATGATTCTAGACCCACTGGATTTGTTTTTTTGGCCATGTGCTTTATTAAGGACCATGTCAAGAAGACTAGAGTGCAAGGAGGAATGAGTTTCCTTGCATTGCAAGATTTTATGTTGTAGGAATTTTATTGGAAGTAAACCTTGTATTGCATTCTTACTTATAATTACATTACAGGAAATGCAACAATGTTGAAAATGGAGGTACATTAGGAGGGGAAGGAGTGCGGAAGGACGCATAATTCTAGTGGTACGGCCATCCTCAGAGCTGAAACTCTATTGCGTGTGTGGGAAATCAAATAGAAGGGCTTCTTTTAAGAAAACCTTGAATGTGCAATATTGGTGCCATGGCTTTGACTGGTCGTAATAATGTCAAACATGTATCATGTAAAACTCTTTCAGGTTTTAAATTAACTGATGAAGAATATTGGTGCAATTACCATTGTGATTTCCATGCAAGTGAAGTAGTCATGTTCCAGGTGAAGTGGCATTACAACAGCAACAGTGATAAAAATTGATTTGAAATAGAAAATGTGAAAGGATACAGTAATTGGAGCATGTTTCCTATGCTCATTGAATATAAAGCAAAAGATTTTGGTACTAAAATTACTTTTGTGAGAAAACTGATGAGGACCTGACAAGTGGAAACATCCACATGACAGGGAAGCTGTGGATTGTCTTCCCCTCAAAGTTTCCTCCATTGCCCTGTTGCACTTGAATAAATGAGAAGTATTCATGGATATGCATAGTTTATGTAATTTCTACTTTTGTTAACTGTAGTTGCAGAAGAATTAATTTTAATTTCTTGTACATTGTCATTGTCACCACTGATATGTGTACTTCGGCTGATTGGAAAATGTCAGACCAAAACATGCATTCAACACATCATAAGGTATCGCATTAATATGATATAAACAATTACCTCCGTCAAATATTACGGTGTCTTTACGTGCTTTGGCTTGTCTACACTAACATTTGTAACCACACTTTTTTTTTTGTGCAGCGTTGCTCATAAAATAAAGGTAAGTTGAGATATGAGGTCCTCACAGCGACGTGTGTGAAGATGGCTGCTTTGTGGAGTGTTGATCCGTATAATATTGTAGATAAATTCTAAATCCTACAAACATAAAGTTTGCTGACATTTCAGAGATGTTTGCTGCCCCCATCATCAGGACGGTCAGCTACAAATTTCACATCTTGTCAGAAAGTAGGCGAATGAGTGTGAAAGCGTAAACATAGATTTATGTCTATCAAAATTAAATATCCTTGTTTGCTTACACTGTTTTTGTAAATGTTCCAGGTCTGTGATGCTGACTCATGACAAGGACTTGGTTTCATCACCATCTGCTGTAACAGCGAGCGACTACTGACACACAGCTGTATGAAGCAGGTAATTTAACAGTTTGAGGTTTCCATGATAGTGAAAATGTGGATTGTAGTCTAATGGGTTGTGATGCTTCATAACCTTGTAGGTGGTTGCCAATGTCATAACTACCATCAAAACCTCAGACTTCATATAGTTAAATAAAACATTGTAATCTGAGACTTTTGAGCTACGTGGGTAATGGACAATATTACACAAAGATAAACATTGTGGTCTATACTCCTTTCCTATCTTTGTTGCTTTATTGTATCAGAGATGTCTGTGGTTCTCTCATGTAGCACACAAGATATAAGAAGCAAAGTCATATGAAAATTGGAAGATTAAGCCTAAAATTAAATAATAGTACTCAGATGTTAATGTAATTAGCTAAGGAGAGTTGGCCAGTCCTGTACATTGCAGCTTGAATATAAATTTTAGAATCTGTTTGAAAATGATTACAATTTTAAATAGGAGTGTGATACAAAGGCCAGTTAATGAAGGTGCCTTCATCATTGGATCATAAGTAATAGAACAAGTAATACTTTGTAAATAATTTATATGAAGTACAAGTCACTTGTTCAGCTCCATGCTGTTCAGTGTTTCTTGCAGAACATTACCACATAGAACAGTAGTCTTACATGAGACTGTAACCTGCATTTTGCAATAAATTTGGCCTTTCCCACACTTTTCTCTGTTACCTGTGATTTTGTTGACAAGTCAAAAACTTTTGTAGGGTTTGAGGTTTTCACAGCGGTGAGTATGAAGATTTCCATCTTCTGGGTTGTTGCGCTGTGTAGTCTGGTCGATGTTAACCAACGTTTCAGAGGTCATACTGCCTCCGTCATCAGGGTGCCCTGATGACGGAGGCAGTATGACCTCTGAAACGTTTGTTAACATCAACCAAACTACACAGCGCAACAGCCCAGAAGACGGAAATCTTCAAAAACTTTTGTTTTCACTTCTAGAAATGCATGCATGGCCTCTTGTGCAACAAGAAGAGACTACTGCTCATATTACAGCTGACCTAAGGACACAAGAGGATGCTGAGCAGCTAGTCCTACATTATGTTGGATTATAGATAGAAGCATCTGCACGTTGCGCCTTTGTGTGAGAGATGCGTGTTTGGAATAAAACATTATGCAGGAAGAACTTTATTATGCTTGTAGTAAGCTATCTCAACAGCAGACATTTATGTATAGTTAATTTGTTCCTTCTGCAGAATTTTGGTATGAAATCTAGAGTCCATTAATTCTGATCATCGCCTATTTCTTGTTGCAGGCCATGGATTTTATTAAGAAAGTTGTCTGATTAGGAACTTTAATTTTTGTCTGAAATTTTTTGATTTACACTATAAATGTATCTGATAATGAACTTTGTTCAAATCTCACTAATTTTGTGGTACATTGGAACTTGATGTTTCATTCGGCCAGCATAGTGTGATGAGAGGATATTAAGAGTTTTGATTAAAATATTACCATGGTAATAGTTGTGTCACAGGATAAGAGAATTTTTTATGGAGACTGGAATAAGAGAAACTTGTGTGTTCTTTCTTGCTTTTTTGGTTAATGCGAAGATAGATTTACATGCACTTGAAGCATTGTGGTACACTATCAACTTGAAGCATGTTAAGTTAAGTTAAGTTGTTGTACAGTTGGCAGAGATGAAGATGATAACCAAGTAAGAAACTTTCTGGTTTCTGTATAATTATGAATAGTTGGTAACTGGAATATGTTAGAGAAATGCATAGACTATTCCTAGTGACAGTGCCTTCAGAAATATGTGAACACCATATTTTTAGGGAGAATGCCTTGAAAAATACATTCTCAATTGGAAGGTTTAAAAAATACGGAAACGTAGGTAGTATGTAGCAGTAGGTGTGTATTGAATTGTCAGGTAAATATTTTTCTTGCTGAAGGAAAGTCAAAGAATGTGTGGTGATTGTGATTGTTGAGTCTGCAGACGGAGCTGGCTTTGGCTCATATTGAGATTGCTTTTTTGAAAACTGCAGAAAATACCAGTTGTAGTTGTAGCAGTAACTGTTCATCCTCTTTGTGGACCAACGTTAAAGCCAAAGACCGAAGCAGAATCAAAAGTCTTTCCTCCATAAATGTGTGAATGTAAAACTGACAAAGAAGTTTGAGCCTCTAAGTATGGAGCCAAAAATTGTTGCTCAGTTGAAGAAAGATGAGAATCCTAAACCTAAAAATAAAAAATATAAGGTTCTGCTTCTAGGCAGTAGCCATGGTAGAGGGTTGAGTGACTGGCTTCACGCAGTCCTGGGGTCTGAGTATGCTGTCACCAGTATATTCAAACCAAATGCTGAACTTCACAATGTTGCCAAAGACCTGAAAGCACTCAGTAAAGATATGACTAAGGATGATCATGTAACAATATAGTGGATGGACCAGGAAATAGCCTTGATTTGGACAGAAATTATCAAATTGGAAAGGACTTGAGCTACATTGCGAACGACAGCATAAATACAAATGTTGGATTTGTTAATGGGCTATCTGATCATGATGCTCAGCTATTAGTTATAAAAAACATAAACCGTATTTCTAACTTTCTCAATGATAAGAAGGTAACTAGAGTGATAAATGAAGTTCCTTTAATTGAATTTATACATCTGAGTAGTGAAGATTGGGAATTATTACCCAATGGTGCTGTTATAGTTCTGAAGTTCAATTCTTTTCTAAAGATCTTTGTAAGAATATTTGAAAAAGTTTCCTTACTGAAACAGAGAAAAATTGTCTGAAACCAATGTAGGGATAACTAAAGGCATCGAAACATCATGCAATTATAAGTGAGCTCTCTACCTAAATAGCAGGACCAGTAATAACCAACTGCTGAAGCAACACTATAGAAAATATTGCAAAATTTTAACTCAAGTCATTAAAGAAGCTAAATGCATGCATTACAATAAATTGATAATAGTCTGAAAATAAAATAAAAAGTGTTTGGAAGATTGTAAAAAAGGAAACTGGCAAACAATCTAGAGACATTGAAAGCCCACCAATAATGTTAAATAATAATAGAGTAAATGATCCTAAACTTATAGTTTACTATTTTAATACACACTTTTTAACGATTGTAGAAAGAATGAACAGCAGTGATACCATAACCCCAAAAACCGAAGATGCAATGAAGTTCTGGGCTAAGGCAGTTCCTAAGTCATTTCCGAATATCAATCTTATTCCTACCACACCAAATGAAATTAAAAGTATAATAGCTTCTCTCAAGTCAAAAAACTCATGTGGTTATGATGGAATTTCATCTAAATTAGCTAGTTTACTTTACTTTACTTGCCTCCACTCTGTAGTGTCATATGGATTAATCTTTCTGGGAAATTCAGCAGACTGATATTGTTTTTACATGCAAAATAAAGTAATTAGAATAATGGCAAGTGTCAAAAGTAGGGGTTCTTGTAGAAAATTATTTCGTAAATTTAATATACTTCCGCTTCCAAGTGAATTTATACTCTGCTTGCTATCATTTGTGGTGGAAAACTTGGATAAATTTAAAAGAAATATAGATGTACATAATTTAAATACAAGATGAAAACATGATCTCTTATGTCCCAAATGCTAACCTTACTATATATCAAAAAAGAGCGTACTATACAGTTATCAAGTTATTTAATAATCTTCCACCAACAATTAAGTCTAAATTATGGTATAAAAGTATTCAAGCCTGCATTGAAAGATTACCTCTTCATTCACTCCTATTCTGTAATGATTTCAACTCTGCTGAAAATTTTTAAGCTTTATGTACATCTCTAATCTATATGTAAAGTAAGTTTTGTATTTCTTTTTAAAGTTCTGAGGTTTTTGTATACTAATTTGTAAAGTTATTTTTCATACTTGTATTGCAGAATCTGAAGTTTATGTACATTGATATGTGAAATACGTTCTTGTACTTGCATCGAAAGTTCGGAACTTTTATGTATATTGTATCCTTTGGTTTAATCCTAGGAAGGATCAATGAAATGTAAATAAACTCTACTCTACATACTTTGGCCACAAGTACACAGCTCCTTTGTTCTATTCCTTGTGAGAGAACTGCCCCAAAAAAATTCCCACAAATTCAAAGTCAATTTAAGTGAAAAATACTGAAAATGGCACAAATACTTCAGTAAGAGTTATTACTTAACCTAAATTTATGCCTTTCGACAATTCGAATGCGTTACGTCAAGTTGCTGCCCCTGAAGGGGGCTGCTGCGCCATCTGGCGGCGAAGGCTATAACTAATGGGCCCGCGAAACATTTTCTGTCCCATATACCTCCTCGCATATCCTATTCCCCGGATACAAGCCTGGCAACTGAAAGTTACACACATTTTACTTGCAGCGCCATCTGGTGGCAAAGGTTTGAACTAATGGGCCCGCGAAAAATTTTCTGTCCCGTATACCTCCTCGCATATCCTATTCCCCGGATACAATCCTGGAAACCGAAAGTTGCACACATTAAGATGCAGCGCCCTCTGGCGTCAAACATTTGAACTAATGGGCCCGCGAAAATTTTCTGGCCAAGTGCATTGCACCGCCACCTAGCGGGAAAAATGGCAACTAATGACCATAAAATTTTTCCGACCCGGTAGATTAGTTCACATTTTTGCCACCAGAGGGCGCTGCGCTTTAAATTTCCTTTGGCTCGGTAGATTAGTTGAAATTTTTGCCACCAGAGGGCGCTGCAACTTAATGTGTGCAACTTTAAGTTACCAGGATTGTATCCGGGGAATAGGATATGCGAGGAGGTATACGGGACAGAAAATTTTCGCGGGCCCATTAGTTCAAACGTTTGCCACCAGATGGCGCTGCAGCTTAATGTGTGCAACTTTCAATTTCCAGGCTTGTATCCGGGAGATAGGATATGCGAGGAGGTATACGGGCCAGAAAATGTTTCGCGGGCCCATCAGTTATAGCCTTCGCCACCAGATGGCGCAGCAGCCCCCTCCAGGGGTAGCAACATGACGTAACGTATTCACATTGTGGAAAGCCATAAATTTAGGTTAAGTAATAACTCTTACCGAAGTATTTGTGCCATTTTCTGTCTTTTTCCCTTAAATTTATATTTAGTGCTATTTTGAAAAATCTACAAAAGTACTATTATGAACATAAAGATTTGAGATGGCATAACTTTTATTTTTAACATTTTGCATTATGATGAATATGTACCCAGATACTGTATTTTCTGACTGCAGTAGGATGCCTTGCAGGTTTTCCTGAATCTGCCTGTGTACCTTTGAGCTGATTATTTCACTAGACAACAGACTATCAGCTTCTGATAAAGGTTTGTGAGATTGTTAGCTGAAAACAGCTTTGCAACAACATATCTGTATGTGTTACAAATAAAGACAAAAGCCAGTTAAGTATAAATAATTGCAAAGAATGCATTTGGAAAATAAAGAGTGAAATTTAAAAATTAAATGCTCACAACACTTTATTCTAAATAGAATTTATAACTTGTGTTGGGCAAGGCCGTGGTCTAGGCAACACGGAGTTTTCCCCCGGGGGCTTCTTCCCCGGTTTCTCCGTGGCATCCCAAGAATTACTCCATTCACACACAGAAGAAGGTAATGGCAAATCACTTCTGGATCATCTGCCAAGAACGTATATGAACAGGTCCCAGTCCGAGAAAAGGATGGAAGGATCCTGTTCATATGGACCTGTCGTCAGACAGA